CCGTGGTACGTCTGGAGCAGTAGGCTCACCCTGACGGCCCGGAGATTGAAACACTCCGAGGCGCGTTGAAACAGTGGGCTGGAGATTCGTGGTGTTCAGGTGTAGTTGTCCCGTTACGTTGGGACTGTATCCCTCAGTTGTTAGGGTGCATGTTGTGCAGGGAGTGAACAATGGGTCGTCTCAGATCGGTCGGTACAGCTATATGCTGCGATGCGAGTCTTGGAGAGAGATTGGGTCTCAGATCGGTCGGTACAGCTATATGCTGCGATGCGAGTCTTGGAGAGAGGTTGGGTCTCAGATCGGTCGGTACAGCTATATGCTGCGATGCGAGTCTTGGAGAGAGGTTGGGTCTCAGATCGGTCGGTACAGCTATATGCTGCGATGCGAGTCTTGGAGAGAGGTTGGGTCTCAGATCGGTCGGTACAGCTATATGCTGCGATGCGAGTCTTGGAGAGAGGTTGGGTCTCAGATCGGTCGGTACAGCTATATGCTGCGATGCGAGTCTTGGAGAGAGGTTGGGTCTCAGATCGGTCGGTACAGCTATATGCTGCGATGCGAGTCTTGGAGAGAGGTTGGGTCTCAGATCGGTCGGTACAGCTATATGCTGCGATGCGAGTCTTGGAGAGAGACTGGGTTGAAGTCCCCCCCGATATGGCCGACGTGCGCGGTTTTAGGATGGAGACGCCACGTTGGAAAGGCGGGGGGTGCAAACGGTTGACATGTAATGTGGGTGGTGGTCCTCATTGAGGGCTGCTGGGACGCAAGCACGGGATGCCTTTTGGAGATGCGGTTCATGCGTGCGGCCACCATTTATGGACAGGAGCAGGCAGATTTATTTTGTTTGTGTCATGTAAATTTTATATATATATATTTTTAAAATGTAGATACTGGAGCAGCCCTGAAGTACGACTTCTTTGCCCAGTACATGGATCGGCCCTGAAGTACGACTTCTCGACCCGGGACGTAGACAGACGTCCGGATAAGTGCGTGTAGAGGGATGCTCGACATGTTGGTCTTCGCCTTCTCTCCACCTGACGGATGGGAGGCTGGCAGGGTGGTGTGGATCCCTGCCATCCATGCGGTGATTGTGTGATTTCGGTTCGATTACCGGTGTTGGTTGTGCATCCAACGCGTCGGAATCTGTATATTTGTTGTTGTTAATTCCCCGTTTTCTATGCGGATCCCGAGGAGGGCTAGGTGGGCCGCGGGTCGTTTGTTCACGTGTCATTGCTTCACCTTTTTGTTGATTGATGCTTGTATATAGTGTAGAGTTGTACAGGTTGGTTATGGTATTTATGGTTGCTTTCTTGTTCTCTTTTCTTTTCCTGTTGAAGCTCGCGTATTTTTTTTTTCTTCTCTCTCTCCCTTTCGTTAATTTAAACTTTCTAATTATTGACAGCCGGGACGGCTGGAGGCTACATAGAGGGGGGTAATGTAGTGACATAAGAAGGGAGGGGCTGCTGTAGGCTCTGGGTTCCCAGGTGGGTCCAGACGCGTAATCCCCTGGGCGCCAGGCGCTGGGTTCCCAGGGGGTCCAGACGCTTAAGCCTCTGGGCGCCGCCAACGGGGGGGGCTGTGTGTGCTCTGTGGGATGTCTGGTGGCGCACACGGCCCCACCCCTCGTTGGGGACTGGGCATATAACCGGAGCTCCCTGGACGATCGGGGGCCAGTTGTAACTCAAGACCCAAGACCCACGACCAGCCATCTGAAGACCCTGGGATGCTGTGAGAGCCAGCGCTGGGACTCTGGAACTCCCGACGCTACGACCTTGTGAGGGCGAGTTCCGGAGCGTAGCCAGAGTAGAGTATCTAGGCTGTGTAGCTAGGCTGTGTACCTAAGCTGTAGCAGAGTACCAGGACTGTTGGAGTGTTGTGTTGTAATAAAGAAGTTACCTCTACAAGTGTCTCCGGAACCTGTTACAATTACATCTGATCTTTTTATGCTTTCTGTTATTCATAATACGATCTCCACTGTAGGTCAATACCCACTCATTGATGCATGATGGTTATAGCTCAAGTCAAGGTGGGGTTGCTTTCAAGTGCAATTTACAATGAAGTGGGAAAAGGGTACAGGTTACGATTAATGCAATGCAAAAAGCACCAGGAATTTAAACATCAATATGGCAGTTACAATGCGTGTCCTTGTACATACACAGCCGTATTGCCAATCCACTGCTGGATGAGGACCTCCCCACACCGTGTGGGCCATGTGACCAGATTTCGCTTGTCAGTGAGAGTTGGTGACAAAGGAGAGAGCGGGGGACAAAAGAACAACGCATCGATGCTGCTTCACAATCCTCTGCTGCCCACAACGCCTACAATACCTGTGGTATGCATGAGGGTGGCCCATCCAAGCAATACCCAGGCTCCAACCTGCTTAGCTTTAGAGTATGACGGAGATGTGACCCATTCTTGGTTATTTGGTCGTAACAATTTTGAATGTTTAGTTGGTTTATTGATTCCGTCTACAATGGATAATCTGGTGGCAAACAACAATGCACATAATACAAATGAAACACGTGTGAAGAAAGCGAACGTTATCGCCAAGTTAACCTCATTATAAATTGCATGATTATTTATTAAAAAATATATTGATGTTGGTTGGAGCATCCTCCGTGATGTAATTGCAGTTATATCCATCTTCTATTCCCTTGATGTGACTACTATACGTGTACGTTTTACTTTAAAGAGCCATGCAACGTATTTAAAACAATGCGGTGAAAGTCAATTGCAGCCGTTTGTCAATCGCTTCCTGAATGATAGTCGACCCACGCCGTGGAGGTTTTTCGACCATGCCACACCATGCGAGTTGGAGCGCGTTGTTGAAAGGAGGGGGATGGGGAGCCCAATCTGATTCAGATATCACTCGTCACTTATGTGAGCCGTGGGCGGGAATCGAACTCAAGTTTGCAATTGCTTCTCCCCTATCCCAATCGATCTCTCGAACGAGGGCTTAACTTACCACGTGCTCATTTCTGAAGCTCGGCCTCTTGCTAACATATTAAACCCTGCCCAAATTGCTCTTTAAAATCCACGTAGATTACAACCAATGTATCTCGTGGCTTCAAGTATATTTTGGCTTTGTTTTGTATTGCATACCTATACAGCATGCAGTGATGCGGTGTCACAGTGGTTAGCGTGCTGCGCTATGAACCTGGCGACCCTATATCGATTCCCTGCCACGAATAACGTCAGTGGCAAGTGATAATTACAAACGGACCCTGCCCTCCCTCCCTTCACCGGTCCTCATTAACCAGCGTGGTAAAGTATGGTCAATAAAGTAAGTCAAATCCCCATGACCGGAATTGCGTGGGGAAGTCGGTGGTAAGTGGGGGTGTCCTTCATTAACACACGATATAAGAATGGCTGGAATTAATTTATTTTATTGTGAAATAAACTTTACAATCAATGTTTCATTTTAGTCTGGAGATCTCTGCGGGAATGGGTGGGGGGTGACACATTTCAGGAGCGACGAAGCCACGTTTGCAATCGAGGCTTTACAAACGTAACAAGTTGGCTATGCAGTATCTTATCTTAACGGAACTTGTATAGCGCCTTAACGAAGACGTTTTTACGAAAAAAAATAAGAACGGTGTGAATGTAATGGTGGAGATGAGGTGCATGGAATTGATGAGAGGAAGCAATGGTGGCAAATCTGTGATGATGATGCGTGAATTCGGTGAAAGCGAAATTGATGACAGTAAATGATGACGAATGAATGAATGGGGATTGAGTGATAGCCATACAATGAGAACACGAAGAGGAGGCAGTAGCGGTGGTGGTTATGCGGGGGAGATGAAGGGGGTCGTCGGATGAGCTCGGGAAAATGAGTGAGTTTTGAGTGAGGATGTTAAACAGAAAGTGTCTGTTTAACATGCGCGTACCATTTAGTACGTGAATATTAAAACAGATGTTGTCTTCCATCGCACAGCACGTGTGTGTGTGTGTGTCCCCCAGAGGACCTCACTTCATATCGATTCGCACATATCACGGCCGAACTGATTTAAGGAAAAACAACAACGCACATATCTCTCGCTGAGAATTAAATGTAAAGCTGTTCATTTAATGCTTTCGTCGTAGGGATTGTTTCGACCATACTTCTCCACGTTGGTCAGATGCATGTTGGTCAAGAGGTATTGGCAGGAAGCGGTTCAGATATTACTTGCCACTGATGTTAGCCGTGGCTGGGAAAGGCAAAAAGCCATTACAAGGTATTCCTTAAGAATAGTAAGGATGATCATCTTGCCTCATTCAGTACAGATGTTGCATTGCCTATATATTTTCTTAGAAATACCAGCCGGCTGAAACATGGACTAAATTAGACGGCTGTGTCTAATTAAAACGAAGCCTCCAGATTACATCGCTCAGAACGAGCCCGTTCTCGACAGTTCTCGGAAGCTAAGCAGCACTGAGCCTGGATAGTGTTAGAATGGCCAATTATATGTATCATCCACGAACAAAAAAAAGCAGGTGTTATCGGCTGCTGCGGAGCTACATAGCACAAGTCAGTGCAGACAAATCAAATGTTGTACTCTACAATTCTACAACCACATGTACTACGCTCCCCGCCTTCACCAACTCACACGAAGCCACGTGGTGAAGTATGGCCAAATAACCACCACGACCCCATGCGGCGCGAGGAGGCCTTCATCCAGCGTTGCATCGAAATGCCCAAACGCAAAACGAACCACCAACACTCTCTCGCCGTATGATTTCACCCCGGGTTTGTCACGGGGACGATGGCTCGTGGTGAAGAATAATGACGGAATGGCAGCCGAGGTGATGGAACGCATCCGAGAGGGCGCGCACAACCGGGAGATGAGACGGAGCGGTGAAATCATCTCGCACGAAAAGTACTCGGTGCGAGTTTGCGGCGTCTCGCGGTCCCGCGAGACATTCGCAACGACTCGGAGAGGCGTTTCATCCAGCAGTGGATCGAGCGTGGCTGATGATGATGATGATAATGATGCTGCTTTAGGGTAGAAGACTCTCGGACTCACCCAAGCCGCCACATGTAGTCGTAGTTCTCATCGAAGTAGCGACCTATTTCCGAGCAGCAGTACTTTGCGTCGCTGAAGCCGCAGCAGAAGATGTCGTCGGCTGAGTCCCCCGGTCGAGGGCAAACGAAGCCGGGCATGGCCGGGTTCCCGCTGCTCGGGGTCCCATTGTAGGGAGCGCAGTAGCGCTCGGCGCTCAGGAAGAACGCGCGAATGTTGCAATCCATGGATGCGCGCTGCGTCGCAAACCAGTTGTCTCTCTCCCGCGTGAGCGTGACTTAGTAGTGGGAGGCGTGTGTGTACGTGGAAGCGCGCGCGCGCGTGCGTGTGTGTGTGTAACTTAGTGTGAGCGTGTGTGTGTAACTTAGTGTGATGCGTGTATGTGTGTGACTTAATGTGTGTGTGTATGTGTGACTTGGTGTGAGCGTGCGTGACTTAATGTGTGTGTGCGTGCGTGATTCAGTGTGAGTGTGTGATTCTCACCGCGAGGGTAACTGCGTGTGAACGCGTGTGCGCGCAGCGTGTGCGAGTGCGTGTGACTCAGTGTGACCATGTGTGTGTGTGTCATTTGGTATAAGCGTGACACTTAGCATGATTAAGCGCCTGCGTGACTTAAGTGTGACAGAGTGTGACCTCGTATAAAGGGTGCGTCGTTGACGGTGAGTGAGCGTGTTTTGTGAGAGTGTGTGTGTGCGCGCTGGTGTGAGCGGACGTGTCGCATTTAGCGCGCTGCGCAACGATCCCATGCGACCCGGGTTCGATTGCCGCTCACGGTCAACACCAGTGGTGATTATCTGAACCTGTCCTGGACCTCCCCTGGGTCGACTCAGCCTCAAATGAGTATCTGGTGCGGTGTGTAAACAGCGCCACTAGGGTGCTGGCCACACACCCACTCACGTCCCGTGCCGGTATTCATAGGTGCTCGCTACAAGCACTTGCTCCTACAGTCTGGTGAAGGCTTTACGGGGGAATCGTTGCCTTTGTGTCAAATGTGATTGAGCGTGCGTGACTGTGGCTCACTGTGAGTAAGTGAACAGTGCGAAAACTCGGTCACGAGCTAACCGCCCGCGTGGGCTCGGTGCCGAGTCAAAGAACGAATCGCCCCGTGGTTGACCTCCGTTTGCGGACGCTTTGTCATCGCACCGAATGCGCACGCCAAACGCACGCACGCTGCTTGCACATTCAATGTCCCTAGGTTGCTTCTGCGCACGCACCAGTGGGGGTAAACCGTGGATAGGGTGATTCGAAGTTGTCTTCTGCCTCGCCTGCTGTGCAGGAGGGTCGTGGGTTCGATCAGGACCCCGACGATGCCTTTTGTATATTTGCAGTTATCTGTGCTCGCTGTCTCCCTGTGGTGGTCGCGTGGATTTTTCTCCGGGTCGTTTGGCTTTGACATCCACAGTTAGAAACAACATCACGCGTTTAAATTATTTGGCTGCAACTATAGATTTCCACGTGTGATTATGAGATGGGCCACTAAGATGAGCTTGTCTGTGTGGCCAGCGCACTTCTGAAAAAGATTTACCCGTAAAAACAAAGTTTTTCACTCTAAATCCTTTATATGCGTGGCGGCTAGAGTCCCCTCGTCCTCTGGCTTGAGATGGCTGCCACCTATGGGTCAGATGATTGTCTGCCAGCATTAAGCAATTGGTAATTAAATATTAAATTTTTCTTCCCTAAACAGTGTAAAATTTTCGAAAAAAATGTTTTCACAAAAATTAATTGTCCCTCACAACGAGTCTGTGTGGAAAATGTCAGCTCGATTGGATCACGGGAAGTGGGTTAAAAAACGACCGAAAGATTTGCACGGACGTAAGCAAGCAAGCAAGCACGCAAGCAAGCAAGCGAACTTAATATAAAGGATTTAAAAATGCCTCATCGTTCAATGGGCTTTACCTGTAGAATAGAACACAGTTTAGGATACGGTCCTTTTATGAAAGCGTCTCCCGAGTCTATGCTTACTTTGGGAGAGCCTTTTTGTTTGCCCCCTCCATCATTGTACGCATTTTCTTCCCACGCCACCTACCGCCTTGTATCTATCTGTAAATGGTTGTGGAGTTTGTAAATCATTCAGACGTCCGTGCCTATTGGCGAATCGACGCGGAATTTGTGCGGCGTACCTTAGAAAGGTAGATGTCATCGTTGGTTGAGTGAATGGCGCTTGAATATAACGCGAGACGCGTGCCGTCGGTATGTTATGTTTTTTATTTGAATTGGCATCGCCGGTTGTAAAACATCGACACGTATACATTTCGCCTTAAGCACGTGTTAGATGGTCTTCCACATTCATTGCTGGACCACAAGAGGCCTTCATCCAGTAGTGGATTGACCATGACTGACTGCTATTGATGGCGAAGGTGGCTCGTGGTAACAGCGACGAACGTGACGTTTGCTTGCCACAAATAAACCGCAGTACCTCACTGATCTCGTCAAGGAGTGTAAACCATCAAGCGAACTCTGGTCATCCTCGCAGCGGCTCTTGGCTAGCCATCGAACAAAGACGGGCACTGCATCGCGCGCTTTCAGTCACATTTGCAAATGTGAAGTGTAACGTTGATCATTGCCTGTGCATCTGTAATGTGAGGTTACACCTGAATGATAAACGGGTTACACCTGGATGATTAATTGGTTACACCTGGATGATAATGATTGACTCTGCCGGCCTCAGCCCACAACCAATGGGGAGTCGAGCCAGGGGCGTGGCCCTGATGTAATGCGAAGGTTACACCTGGAAGAGGATGATTGGCTCTGCTGGCTTCAGCCCGCAACCAATGGGGAGGCGAGCTAGGGGCGTGGCCCTGGGGCTGTAAAATGGGATTAAAAGTAGTGGAGACGAAGGTGGAAGCCACGTGGTTGCGGAGGTCCGGAGCCTGCCATGTGGCGGGCCGCGGCAGTCTCTCTCTCTCTCCCTCTCTCTCTTTTTTTACGATCAGTGGAAACAAGATGCTCGGTGTATTCGGCACTTTGCTTCGTTCATCATTTCGTATTTTTTTTTTAACTGGGCTTTATGTAACCCCCTCTCTCGCTCGCCCGCTCTCTCTCGCTCTCTCTCCCTCTCACGCTGTCTGCCAACAGCGTGAAGGAGCCATAGAGCAGAGGGACGAGTATATACACATTCATAGTTCAATGTTAATGTGCCATTTCATTGAGGGACTACTCCTGAGTGGCGTTATCTTGGTGTGCGCTGGGACTGTTTTGTTGTCGTTTCTGCTGCGTTGCCCAATCTCGATAAATCGAACCTGAACAAATAAATAATTGATTTTCTTAGTGACTTGCTTACCATTTTCCTGATTTTACACTTTTATCTTGTTTTGTATTTTGATGTTGGAGCTTGCTGACCCATCCCTACTGGCCACGTGTGAAAAAGAACTCCATCGCTCAAAGGATTCCTCCTGAAATCTACATAAAGATTCTGATTCTGGAATATTCTTCAGATGCGCTTCTGCGGCCGTCTGGAACGGTCTTCCTTAGGATGCCACTGAAGCTATCCACTTTTAAATCAAGATTAGAAACTCATTTATTTTAGAACACATTTTGGAATGTAGTTCGTTATCCTTCCCTCGCACCTCCGATTTAAACGGTTGGCTACGTACGGTGCGAAATAAGTTCAACATATATACGTACACTTTGTGATCCACCATTGCACATTGCTTTTGCACATCCACTCAAGTGTAGGACAACGCATTATGGTATTTACGTTGTAGGTCAGCATTGGATACGGCTTTCCTGAAATAACGGATCTCTAGTATGGATATTGGTCTACTGTGCTGCAGCACACAGGTTACTCGTTTTAGGTGACGTTCATGCACTTACGAGATGCCTAGACCAGGGTTGCAGCCACACTCAGGGAGTTTGGGGTGTCCGATGTCCGTCTGACGAGTGCAATAGCAGTGGCGGAGTTTCTCACTTCCCACATTGAGCTATGCAATCGTCGACCTTAGTATTGAGCACTTGTCCACGGCTAACTTCAGTGGGAAATAATATCTGAACCGGTCCTTTTTCCACCATCTCCTCCACGCCCAACACTGTTATCGTCTCGCCCTGACCAGCGGGGTGAAGTATGGTCAAAGAATATCCACGACTGATATGGTAGAGGGAGGCTTTTGTTGAACGTTGGGTTTACAAAGGGATTGTTAAGTGAGCAAATACCTCTAAGGCATTAACGCTTTTTCATCATATGGCAGAGGCTGGGAAATAATGATTTTATCATGGGAAATGTGAAAGCAAGGTTGTTATATTTTGCCCGTGTTATATTTTTTCACCTACTCACACAAACATTTCTATTATATCTGTCGTATAGGAACTGACAGTCTTCAATTTCCCTGGAATTGCGTTCCAGGTAATTGTTCCTGTAATCGCGAATGGGCGCCGTTGGTGCATGGACAGACAACATGGGCACATGCCGCTGTGGAACCTTCACAGCATCAAATCAATTTATGAAATATGAACTGCATCTTCCTTTATCCCACAGAGTGATAGATGCTGCCGTGGTCTAATGTTTAGCACACTGGACGTACAATACAGCGGTTCGTTCCGATCTCCCTGTGCGGAAGAGTTGCATTGTATAGGAAAATAATGAGAGTTCAGTACCAATAACCACTCCAAGGTTTTGTATGTATGTGTATTGAACTTATATTCTTGGTTCTTTCGGTAAAGTCACGTAGAAGGGAAATAAAAATAAATAAAAAACAGAAAATAATGAAATGAAATGCTCATGATGTTTCGGCCACAACGCAAGCAGCCGTCCTCAGGTGAATAAACAGAGCTGTTTGCGTTGTGGCCGAAACGTCGTGAGAATTTCGTTTTATTGTTTTAACAAATACATTTTATATGTTTTCATTTTTTATTTTCACCTACGTGACTTTACCGAAAGAACCAAAGAGTATTTCCTTCACACTGTATGTAGCCAACCACGCTAATCAGAGGTGTGTGGTATATTGAGATATTGAGAAGAGCAAGGGTCCAACGATGCAACCTTCTGGCACACCACAGCACTTGGCTTTCTGAAAAGAAGACAACCCGTTTGTATGGAAAAAAAACACGAACAGTTTTAGGGGTAAAAGTGGAACCGGGGAGTGTGACAGAGACATGTTCATGGCGACTTTGGAGGTAGATTGGTCTGTGCTGTCAAAGGAAACAGAATGAACTAGGATAACTATGAGTGAGAGGGGTCCATGGTGCTTTATCACACGTAGTAGAGTGAAGCATGGTCAAACCCTTTGACCAATAGCTTGTAGAAGCTTTCATCCTCGAGCGGAACCCACAAAAAGGACTGTGCATTCTTACCATCGTTTACAACTCAGTGAAGTCAGATTCCAATAAATCCTCGTTGATGCGTTTTCCCTACGGATGCAGGTCTTATGAATGTTTAATGTAGAGAAAGGGGGAAATCTAGGATTTAGCAAATAATTTGGGGAATTAATATAGATTATTGTGTGGAGGACTGAATGCCGATGTGAGATGTAACTCCATTGGAGGCGGGGTGAGATGGTCACCCTTCATTCTGAACTCATTTCCATGCTACAGCTGCAATCAGCAAAAATCTGAAAATGTTTGCATGACCCTGCACCTCCG